TTGCTTGATTTAACTGGCGACGACATATTTATTAAACAAATATTTAGAATCTAGTTAGGTTAAGCAACCATATTACATTATAGAAATCAAATATTAAACTAGATACCAAATATATATAAAGGAGTATATAATCAACCAGGCTGCCAGACTTACTAAAAGAAAAAAATACAGAAATATACTATATTAGGCCATTTGAATTGGTAGTCTGGCCAGAAACTGTCAGTTTTGAGTTGTAACTAGTAAAAAATAATAGAAAAGATGCTAAGAAGATAAGTACTAGAATTTTAGTGAACTTTACTAAAATAGAAATAGTATAATAAAGCAGTTAAACAAGTAATCTTTGTAATTGCAAATGTTAGATAACTATAGCATGTTGCATAAAACTAAGTCAAGTATGTATGAAACACAAAGGCTCTAGTAAGTTTTTTTATTAAGAATAAAGTAGTTCTAAATATATTGATCAGTATTGAAAAACTTGAATAGGTATAATCTTGAAGATGTTCTTGTAATACAAAATGGATTGCAAATGCAGAAGGTTTAAACAAACAAAATCTTTAGTTGGCTTACAGATATGGCATCTAGTATAAAACTTATATAGTAATATATAAGCAGACTACTTAAATTAGATACCAAAAGTGCATATATAGTTAGTTGTAACCTTCAATATTAGGAAGCCTCTAGAGGCAATCTGTGTCTTATATACTTAAATAAAAATATCATATTCTAAAGATAGAGGCTTTAATTTTTTTTTAAAAAAAAAAGTATTATTCAAAGATAATAATTTTAGTATAGTAATTAGATTGTTATTCTTTAAATAGTAGATCTAAGGTTCAAATCCTATTAATGATAAAATTTAAAAATTATATTTGCATTATAGTAACTGTCTTTTGTTAATTGATTAGCCTTATATAACTGTAATTCAGATATACCAAGTCAAGTTCTACAAATATTAGGAGCTTAAAGCATCTATATGAAGTGTTATTATATATTTATAGAAAAATATATAACTAATATTATATAAAACTTTGAAGCAAACCTATAATAAGACCATCAGACATAAAAGACTAAGAAATCAAGGTAACAGAAACCTACTTAAAAATTTCTGAGTAAAGAGATAGTATAAACTTTTGATGATACTATTGAACTAATTAAAGCTTATAAAACATCTTTATAAAAACAAATCATCTAAACTAGATGTCAAATATATATAGAGAAGCATATAACTAATCAGGCTGCTGAATTCACTAGAGAAAAAAGATACAAAAGTATACTATATTAGACTATTTGGATTGGTAATCTGATTAGAGACTGCTAGTTCTGAGTTGTAACTAATAGGAAATAATGAAGAAGATAATAAGAAAATAAGTATTAGGGTTTTAGTGAACTTTACAAGAGTAGAAATAGTGTAATGTAGTAGTTAAACAGGTAATTATTGTAACTGCAAATGTTAGATAACTATAATATATTATACAAAACTAGGTCAGTATATAGGAGTGAGTTAATAGAAAAAAGACAAATCATTTTAGTAAAATTTTTTTAATTTTTAAATTTAAATAACTCAACAACTATTTAATTAAATCTGCTAAAAATTTTTTTATTTTAATCTTGAAATTATATAGAATTAAAATAAATAAAAAATTATTAAATTTAATAAAATAGTTATTAAGATATTTAAGCTTAAAGTTAAAAAAAATTTTATTTAGAAAAATTTGTTTCTTTTTTATTAACTTCCCTTCATATATTTTATAGTTTTAGATTAAAATTTCTTAATATACTTGTCAATATTCTTATTTCTACTTGTTTATCTTTGTACTGATCACTGAAGAATGCATATTTTGATACCAAGTATAAGATGTGTTATATTTTTTGCATTTTGCATATATATTATATTTATAATTTTTTTATAACTAATTTATTAAATATTAACATATACTTATTTGTGACTGTATTTTGAATTAGTTCATAAATATTTATATTTTCTAATTAACTTAATTAATTTATTAATTACTATATTAAATATATAATAGCATATTAATTAAGATATAGATTAAATTAACTATATGTTTGATTTAATATCTAATCTAATATCTGATATAATAAAATAATATAAACTTTTAAATTATTTTATATTTGTATCAATATTTTAATTTTTACTTTATATAATAGTAAACATAACTATATATATTTAATTTTTTTAATATATTTATAATTTATATAATATATTCTATCTAACTACATTGCTAAAAATTTATTACCATTCTTTTAAATAATAAATAAATTATTAAAAAGAATCTATTCAATTAAATCTTTATATTTAGTAGCTTTAACTAGAAATTCTTTAATGCAATTGTTGATATCCTTATTTTTACTTGTCTATTCTTGTATTGTCTTCTAAAGATTATAAGTTTAATATTAAATATAAAATGTATTTTATTATTTGCAATTTGTACATGTTCTATTATCTTTATTTCTTTTAAAATCAAATTTATTAAATACCAATATATATTTATTTGTTGAAATATTTTGAACTAAACTATAAATACTTTAATTATCTAATTAATTCATTAAATAATATATTAAATATATTAAAAATAAATATAATAAGTATACTAATTTTTGGAAATCAATTACTTATATTGATATTAAATGTTTTATAATATATGAATAAAATACTAAATCAGTTTTTATTTATATATTACTTAGACTATTTGTTAATTTTTTTATTTCTAATTTCTAGTATAACTATATTATATAATTACTTTATTTTAATAAATGTCTTAAGTAAATATTAATTATAAATACTATATATATATTAAATAATATAATATATTAGTTTAATTCTTTAATCTAGGTCTTATTTTTGTACAGACATATAATAATATTGAATTACAGATTTAATAATATAAATAGTATTAAATTATTAATTTTTTTTAATACTATATGTTATTTGTATTAATTTAATGATTCTATAGATTTATTTATTTAATAACTTTAAATTATTAATAAAATAATGAGTTATATCTAGTATAATATTTAAATATTAATAATCTACTTTTAATATATATTAAATATAAACAGTTTAGTTCTAATTTAAATTAGATCAATTATAATAGTAAAATAGTTGAATCAGATTTTTGATTTTCTTTAAATAATTTAAATATTTAATTTTAATAATAATTTTAATAAATAAACAAAATAATAAAATAAAATAATAATAAAATAAAATAATAAAATAAAATAATAAAATAATAAAAAATAATAATAATTTGTAAACTAAATATAGTAGCAATAAAAAAACCTGCAACAGGAAAAAAAATTATTGCTTAAAATAATTATATTCTAATTTTATTAAAAATTAATAAAATTTTTTATTATAAATTGATTCAAAATCAATATCTGAATTTTTTTCAGATTCTGATTCTTGTTTAATATTATCATTTAAAGATAAAGTATTTTCAATTTCATTAATATTATAAGAATTTAAATCTATTATTTCTGCTATAAGCAAATTATCAAAATTGGATTCTTCTGTTTCATTATTTATATCAAAACTATTTTTATTTTTATTTTTATTTTCATCTTCATTATTATTATCTTCTTTATTAAAAAATCATCATTTTTAATAAAAGCTTCTATTATTTTATTAATAGTTTTTTCTAATTCAGATGTCATATTTGTAATATAAAATGAATGAATTTGTGCTATTGATTGAAGAAGATTAATATTTAATCTAAAAATATTTTAAATAAGTTATTAAAATTACAAAATAGATAAACCAATTTTTATTTTTTTTATTATTATTTTTATACTTACCTAGTTCTTTTTTTTCAATTATCCAGTTTAAAATAAAAAATACTCTAACATGCTGCTTGATGAAGAACAATAGAAAATAATTTTAATACTAATTGTTGTATATAATTGTCTAGTTGTCAACAAGTTTGCTACCAAATTTCAGGAGTATTATAATTATCTACATATTCTGTATCATATAGTATAATATTTTCTAAATATTTTCTAAGTTGTGATAGCAAAATTTTACAACTATTTGTCTTACTACCAAAATTTTTTCAAATTTTCATTGCATGTAAACTAATTTCACTAAATACTTTATCTTTAAATTCTTTATCTAAAATAAAATAAAATTAAATTAATAAATTTTAATTTAAAATAAATAAAATTAAAATTACCTTTATATTTAGAATGCAAAAAATAAATGAGAAAATAAGTTAAAATGTCAAATTGTTTCTAATACTTATTATAAATTTTAATACATTATTTTTTAAAATTAAAATCTATAATATTAGAAATATTTTTAATTGCAATTGCCATTTTAACTAATTTCAAAACACATAATGCAATATTGCTTGATTTTGTTTCAACTGCATTAATTGCTCTTTTAGCAGATGCAAGAATAATTTCTAATTTCTCTACATCTTGCCAAAATTGATGATTATGAAGAATAGTTTTTACACTTAAAGCATCTTGAAAAATTTTAGATTGATTTTCAAGAACCTAAATAAAAATATAAATATATAAAAATTTAATAATTAATAATTAAATTTAATTAAAAAAAAAAAAAAAATTTATAAATATAATAATAAAAAAATATTATATTTATATTTTTAAGACTATGTTCCAATCTAATAAGTGAATTACAACAATCCCATGCAGTAGACCATCTTGTTTTTACTGAAGTTTTTAATTCTCCACTTTTTACAAAATTATTAATAATATCTTTTTAAAAAGCTGCACCAGTACAATAAGATTGTTTAAAAAAAGAAATTAAAGTTTGACATTTTGTAAAAACTGCTTTAGCAAAATCTAATTTAATAATATTAAAAGTTATAAGATTAATATAATGAGCTATACACCTTATAGATAAAATATGAGAATACTTAGTAGAAATTATTTTTTTTGCTAATTGCATAGCTGATTCTGTATCTGTAACAATAGCAACAAATTTTTGAGATCCAATTGAAGTTAAAACTTTTTCAATTTTAGAAGCATTAAAGGAACCAGTATGAGATTGACTTGATTTATCAATTAAAGCATAAGTATATTGTTTTCTACTAGGTGTAATAATTACAAAAGCATAAATAGATTTTCCTAAAGGACTAGACTATCCATCTACAACTATTAAATAATAAATTATATTAGTATAATTAAAATTTTGTAATTTAATAAATTTAATTTAATTATATTTTTACCTAATGTTAAATTATTTTTACATTCAAGTTCCTTATTAATTTTAATCAAAACTGTAAAAATTTCTTAATTTAAAATAGTTGTTGAAAGTGTTAATCTATTAGAAGAAATATAACTATAACAAAGACTTTGAATAAAATCTATAAAATATGGATGACCAACTACAGAAAATAGAATATCACAACATATAAAAATTTAATTAATGCTTGATCAATTCTATTTTTTTTATTTGGTTCAATTTTTGTTGTTGAATTATAATAATCAGATACTAATTTTTTAGAATTACTACTATTATTTTTTGTTTTTTTAGAAAAATTAATATTAGCTAATATTTCTAAATATTCTAATTTAATATCTTGAGGTATAACATTACAAAATAATGCTAAATAAGATTTTAATTCTTTTGGTCTTCTTCTAATTCATTTTTCAGAACAATAATTACATTTTGCTGAATAATGTCCACTTCCAGTAGATTCTTTAATAAAATGATCCTAAACACAAGCTTTTTTACAACCTCTTTTATTTTTTTGATAGAACTTTCAAATACAATATCAGACATAATTTGAATATTTTATAAAATAAAAAAATAATATTTTTATATTTATTATTTTAACAATATATACTAGGAATAGAGTGAAATAAAATGTATAATTATATGGAGAGTAAAATATTGTGTGCATATACAGGCTTCTGATTAATATAGTTTTAAATAATATAATATCCTAATTTATATTTCATTTATCTATATAGTTCTATTACCTTATTTTTTATGCATGCACCTATATGCAGACTTGTGGTGATTTTATTTAGTTTACTATTTTATAAAAATTGTGTCAGCATTTTTATTGTATAAAATTTAACTAAGCTGCATTTATATTGCTTAGTACAGATTAGAGTTCCGCATAGGCTGGGCTGAATATTTTAAAGTCCAGATCCAGCCTATTAAAAATATGTACCAATTATTTAGATCCAAATTTGGCCTATATTTAATTAGATAGATCCAAGCCCAGCCCATTACTATATAGTATAATCTATGATCAACTCATGGATCCAATAATATAAACTAAAGCTTGGAACCAATTGTCTTTAAGCAATTTATATAATATAAGCAATTTATATATAAGTAGCTGCACAACATTGTTATGCAAAACCAGAAACAGAAGGTGTATTTTTAGATCAAGTGGCAGATGAAACTGCTGTCATTATGAGTATTTTGTTTGCTTAACTTTTATAAGTTTTATTTGCAACTTTAAATTAGATTATATATGCAGTAGGTCGAATATTAACTATGTTATTTAAGTGAACTTTATATGCAATTCAGATAGATTAGTCTTAGTATAGTATAGATGTAGCATTCTTGCATGTATATAGTATTTTTAAAATAAATTATTTACTTTTGTTGTTATTTTATTTCATGTAATTGATAAATATAATAAACATTTGTTAATAGGTGTATTTAAAATAAATTATTTATACTATATTAATCTATCATATTTTAGTTGGCAAATTTCATAATTGATTTGTTAAGTACCTGGGTATTTTACATTCATAGCTGCAATTAATCTGTTCTTAGTATCTGGAGCACTTTATATTTTTAGGCCTCTGAAAATCATGAGGAGTATTATAAAAGGGGTCTTTTAGTCTACACTGTATAGTGATTTGTAATTAAATATAAGTATAAAAAGCAAAGAATCAAGCATTCAATGACAGTAAGTAGGTTAGTAAAGTGATAAATTGTTCAATTCTTAAGTGTGCATATGAAAAATACATAACATTGAAGCATTGAACTTAGAATAGCTAAAATGAACGAACACAGTTAAATAAAATTTATTATATTCTAGATAAAATCTGTAACATATTCTAACTGTATATAGATTAAATTAAAATTTAATTACAGCTTAATGTTTATTGCAATAAGCCTCTAATTACAAAATCTTTCTAAATGCACTCAAATATATACTTTATCTGCATAAATGCATTTTTTTATTATTTCTAAAAGCATCTCTTATAAAAGTTGAGTCTTTATAAAAGTTACTTAGAGAGTTTTAATTGTAATATAATTCTAGTTAATTTAAGAATTATTATAATTTATCCAATAGGATTAAGACTGAGGCTCTTTTTTTTTTTTTTTTTTTTTTTATTTATATAATATCATAGTAGAAACTTTAAAATACAATAAGAAATTTAATTACAGAAAAAAATTCCTAAAATAAAGATTTCTAAACTACATTTGTGTTGCTAAAAAAAATAGACACCCAATATGACATTACACCTTCTATTTCCTAATAAGTGCTATAGATAATTGTTTCAAATTATTTTCTAGCTAGGATAGGTTGAAGGAAACCTTGGCTCTTTTTTTTTAAAACAATATTTGTATAAGTTACTAAACATTGTATTTAACTTTCTTAAAAATATAAGAAATTACACAGATATCTCAGTACTAACTACTTTGCTTCTATACAATATAAGCATATAGTTAGAACAGTGAACAAAAACAGATAAAATCAAGAATAATTCAATAAATATATGACAAGATTAAAAGCTGAGATAATAAATAGAGAAATTAATATTATTAAATAAGCTAAAAAGAATAATTATCTGATCACAAATATCTAATTCGCATTTTTTTTTTTTATTATGTGTCAATAGACAAAAGCTTATAGATAAAACTCTAAAAATCACAAGATGAAGTCACAAGATTATAATAACCAATCAGATAAAAAAGAGACACACTATTTCAGATACTTATAAACCATACTCTATGTTATATGTTATACAAACTTCATTTTTGGTATTCTATTACATTTTTATATTTTATGATTCTAAGCTAAAATTTTTTATAATTATTAATGTTCATATTATTATCACTTGTCTATCATTAAGTATATAATGCTACTTAGATTTTTTTTCACTTGGGCTATGCATAAACATAATGGCAAATATTTAATCTTTAGCCATCTGTTTTATATATAACACAGCTGTAATATGCAATTTTTGTGCCACTTTACAAACATCAAATACATAATAATAATAAAAATCTAATTAGTAAATAATTTCAGGCTTGAAACTATTTTAAAGTTTTCATTAAGGTATTTTGGCATTATAACATTATGGCATTATGGCATTACAGCATTATGGCATTATGGCATTATAGCATTACAGCATTACAGCATTATGGCAAAAAATATGACACATGTTATTGCCATATTAATTTACAAAACCAATTCTACCAACAACTATAGTAATAACTATTTTTTCTATTTATGTAATACAGACTAACTGGAGACTATATATAGAAGGTTATTTGTAAATCATATATCTTTAAATCTTGAATCTTGCAAAGCCTGTTACTAGTTCTATTTTAAAATAACTATGAATATTATATTATTATATTGAGGTGTGTATTAATCATTTGAGAATATTAAATAATTTGTTCTAACTGAATATATAAGTATATCTTGTGCTGAATTTCTTGTAACAAAGCTAGTATGCACTATGCTGAATTTGAGTAATTTAAAAAACTTAGCCAAAATAAATTTTGTTAATAGATCAAAATATATTCGACCTATTATTGTGAACTTTGCAATTAAATTTTGAAAGTAAGTACTGCTAAACATACCTACCTTCAGATCTCAAAGTTTATAATTTATTAGACTAAAGTATATCAAATGTTATAGCAATAGGGTCCAGCAAGAAACTAACCTACAAGCTGAAGTATAATTTTTTATTGTATTATAACACTAAATAATACACAAAAATAAAAATTTACAAATTAGCTTGGAAATTTAATTTATTAAACAATAGTTAAATATAATAGTTTATTTTATTACAATAGCTTAACTTTATATTATTCAAAAATGTATAATAATAAAACATATTTAAACTATTCAATTTTACTTAGCTAGAACTTCATATGTTTCTGAAAAATTTACTCTTTAGTACATTTTAATTTAACTTACCATCTTATTTTAAAAAGTAATTGTGATTTATGTATCTTCGATTATACTACTTATATTTAATCATATATCTAATATTATTAGAAATAATACTTATATTTTTAATAGTTGTAGAACAACTATATCAAATAATGTATAAAAACCCAAAGGAACATATAAATTATTAATGCTAATGCTCTCTAAATATATTAGCTATAACATATTATTATATTTGTATTAATATAAACATATTTTATTTAATAAACTGAATTAAATATTTGAATAATGCAAAAACTTTAATGTTTTCAAAATTATTAAATGAATAAGCTGAGATAACATTCTTACTCAAATCTAACAAGAGACTGATCACCTCAAGTGAAATTTAATAGTAAAAATTGTAGAATATGATATTTATCCTATTATATTATACCAAAAAGTTGATATTTAACAATGACAATAAGAAGATACTCAATCTTTTACAATAAAATTATGCATATTATTTTGAAACAATATTATTAGAACAATAATTTTAATAGCCTTCATTATATTAATACATGACCTATTTTTAAATCATATTAGAAGACAAAATAAACATCTACACAATAAAACTAAAAACAATTAGAAACAACAATATTTACATTATGTTAATGTCAAACCAATATCAGATCAAGTAATACCAATAACAATATTTTTTACAACAACAATTTTAACTACAACAATAAGTTCAACATCAACAATAGTCAATACAATACCTAACTCAGTAGATAAATCTTTCAACACAATCAAAGTTGTTATACAAACACAGATTACAGATCAGAATAGTTCAAACAACAATATCTTTATTATCGAAATATTAAGTACAATATTTACATTTATAACAATAATATTAGCAATAATACTCTATTGTATACAAAAAAATTAGAAAGAATAAAAAAAATAAGTAATTGCTAAACAACAAAACTAAACAACCAACATTACAACTTGTTACAAATATAATGCCTGGTCCATATTCAAACTAACAACAATTGTTATCACAATCACAAGTATCAGATTTAGCAAGGCAATACAACAAAGAGATTTAAACAACAAAGAAAAAGAAAAAACAAAACAAAAAAGATGCATACCTGTTATAGACACAAGATTACTAACACAACTTGAACAAAGATATAATTATTTTAATGCAGATGCAGCAGAATCATCTGATTATACAACAGATTCAACTTGAAATAGACTATAACAATGTCAACCACAACAATCAATATTCAACAAACCACTTTAACAATCAATAAAACAAAGAATAACTATGATAATACTAACTAAATTAAACTTTATTTGATATTTACCATTATAATACTAATTTTATTCTATTTACTAACAATAATATGCATTTTTTGTCACAACCAAAGATATAAAAAGAGGAACTATCAAGACAATCCATCGCTAGGATATAATACTCAATACAAAGAATCAACTTCAATATATTTTAAAAACATATGACTCTTCCAACACCATTTGACCAAACAATACTCATAATAGTAGCAATCATAATAGAAATCATTATTACAGGACTAGTATTACTCATAATCTATAAACTTGTTAGAAAACAAAGAATAATCAAATGTGGTGACCATAATTAAATACCATTAACACTTTTAAACTATTGAATGACCAACATATTCAATAAACGTTTTAGAAAAAAGAGAGTATCTAAGAGACACCAACAGAATCTAAAATATTTTCAAAATCTACAAGACTTTGAACAAAGATTTGACAACACTACAAGACTACTTGAAGATTCAGAAACATATGAAAGATACAGAAATACAAGACATCCTAACTTACATCCAAATCATTTTATAACTGACCTTAGAAGTCATAACCAAAGAGTACTCATAGTACCAAAAAAAACAAATATATCTACCTATTTGAATTATATTTAATGCAATAAAGACAACAAATAATATTATTAACAATCTCAATACTAATACTAACAGTAACCTTAATCCAAACACAGCAACAACTTTAACAATAACAGCAAGCTCAACTATAATACAAACTCAAACATTAGAATACTTTCAAGATAATAGCATAATTACTCAAGATATAATATC